GTATTGTTACAATTATGGTAAGTATTGCTAATATTGTTTCTAATATTTCTAATAATATGACTAAGGTCTGATTGTTACTATTTGTTGATTCTGCGCTTGGTGTTGCTACTATTATTTGTATTGATTATGTTTGCATTTCTTTGGCATTTTGTATTGTACTTAATGGTGTTGATGTTGCTGAGAATAATATTGTAATTATTAATGTTGGTGTTAGTGTTATTGGTATTATTATGTCGGCATTTGCAAATATATTTTTCCAAGGTTTTCGTAGTTGAGTAATTTCTTGTGGACAATAAATTATGTGATACGTATAGTTGAGTTTCTGTCTCTATTTTCTATAGCTATATTCAAAGTATTGTTTGTAAATATTGTGAAGATCAGTTTGATATTAGTTCTTTTTTTAAAGTAATTATGCAGTATATTTTTGGATTTGGTTGTAATATATTGTCTAGATCGTTGTAGATTATGAAGGCTAGTAATGTTAATATAAGATAAATAATTATCTTCATCTCTTTTGAATACATTTTGTAAATAACTTATTATAGATTATTTCATTAAATGATTGCAGTTATCTTCGTAGAGTGATCAATTCTTTGAATCAAACATAAGTAAAAGTTAATATCCTCTGTTCATATATTCTTCCAATTTACTTCTTTATCATATAAGTACTTTCAATAGATAATAAGAGTCAAGTTTGTTTTGTTTTTATAAATAGTTTTTTTATTTATTAAATATATTTATTATATGTATACAGGTTATTATTATAAGAATGTACACTAGTTAGATTTTATTTTTCATGGTAATTTTTTTTACGATTATTCGTTATGAATCTTTTGATTTAATATATTGGTAGGCAGTGTTATACTCTAATTATTTGTTATGATTGGATAGTTATTCAATAACTATTATACGAAAAATAATTTATGAAACTATCTAAGTTTCAAAGGTAAGTTATTAAAAGGTAAGAACATATGAAGTTCTAGCTAAAGGTATTATAGTTGAATATTTTTTTGTGTTGGTTATACTATTTCGATTGGCATATTATTTGCGGTATTCGGTATACTATGGTATACTTATTGTTTTCTTCTATTTATTTTGAGATTATCATTATATATTAATTCGGATTGATCATTGGTTTAATTTTTCCTTTTTCTGGTCTGATAATTATTGGCACATTTCTCAAGTTGTCTGTACATGCTGTTGTGTTTCTGAGCCAGGAAAAAGATGCTTACCCAATTCGGTTGACAGTTGTCAAGATAATATTACCTTGATAGGTAAAGTGTATGGTCATGAACGAAGGGACGTGAATGAGTCAATGAATGAATCAATAGAATTACAGGTAAAGAACAATGACAGCATAGAAGCCTTTATTTGACTTGCCTTCTTTTTCTATTTCGTCGAATATTTTAATGAGAATGGCTGTATGCAAGGAGTAGGGAATTAGTCTAAAAAGGGTTGTATAGCTAAAATTCAATGGCGATATAATGAAAAAAAGAAGATGGGAATTAATTAGAATTTTCGAATTTGTTCTCTTCTTGACCTGTAAATTTGTTATAAATAAGAGATCAAATCTTTCTTATAAAAGCATTAATTAATTAGTTAATTCATCGATCGAATACTTGACTGTGAACAATTACCCCTATATAATAAATAAAAAAGCTCTTTGTATCAATAAAATATAACGCTCTTTAAGTTTACCAAATCACCCTAGTACATAGTTTGTATTATATCGATCTTCACATTCTATACAATCATGTAGCAAAGTAATGTATTTGGGTATTTTGGTTTCTATTATAAATTAAAGTTTTAGTTTATTAGCTCAGGCATATTAGTAATAATATCACATTTACTATGCTTTATTCAAATCTTTCTATTTTCTGAAATGTATATAACAATTCTTTTGCGTCTATCTATTATCCTGTATAAAATTATGTAATTTGAATCACTAGGGCGACCCTCATATAACGTAACAAGATCAGAAAAACTCAAAACAAATATTCGCTTGGTCAAAATCTCCTTTATCTCAAGAATTTGTATAAGAAACCAGTTTTTTCTCTAATAAGTCATTTTGTCGATCATCACATGATCCGTAAAAAGGGGTCAATTTGTGAAACAGAATATGTACGTTACGTATGTACGTACGTACGTATTTAAGAATAAAAAATTGGTGATCGGCAGTGCTCTTTTTCTTCACTGCCCAACTTTGATCTGGCCCTTTTGTACTGTGGTGCCTTCTTCGCGGTTAGTTTAACAAAAAATTAGATGTAAATCAAAACAAATAGCATAAAAAACAAACCAAAAAAAAGAAGAAATGAAAGAAATGAAGAAAAGGAGAGAAAAATGGCACGGCACTTCGTGTCATAAATTTGAGCATATTATTAGA